ACAAGGCAACTTATGGAGTGTATTTGTCTTACTATAATGATACCAAATGTATTTCTTACCAGTAACTACCTGAAGGGTACACAGGCATTGGAAGAGATGTGTAGGTGCACACATGTGAATGTATGTGTGTATGTGTTTGTTTATACATATTTACACCCTCATCTCTAAAATGTACAATTTGATCAGCTGATAACATACACGTGACAGGGACTCATAATGCTAGGAGAATAGCTTGGGTGCACCCACTAGCCATTGGACAGTTTCAGGTAACATCACAGAGTTAAATCTGAGTCTCCACGATCCAGGCAAACAAAAAGGAGACGTATAAACTGCTGGTTCAGTGCTAAAACACCATATCAGTGACGTTAAGAAAAATCTGACTAATCTTCCTTTTTCATTAATAACTTCACACCATTCTTCAGTATAATAATACCCATATCCTTCATTAGCTTAAGGTAGTCCTAGATTTTAAAAAGTTTATGTTCCAAGCTTCAAATTTCATGTCTTTCATGTTTCTATTTTTTTAAAAAATAACTCATTAAGGTGTCTTTGTTTTAATAGACACATTAATGACACCTGTCACCTTGAGGCAGTGCTAGAACTCACATAGTTAATGGAGCTAATATCATGTTCTTCATCAAACATGTTGGAACTAGTTCAAGTCTTGAAGTGAGAAGGATGAGTGGGCAAAGACCCGGAGACTGCTATTTAAATATATGGAGCTTTTAAACATGATAGCTTAAGTGTGTTGTGATTCAAACAGTAAACTTTCAATTTAACAGACTTCAGTTTAGTAGAGTTTGGATTTAATGGACAAAGTCTGCGGAACAAGATAACTGTACTGGGGCATCGGTGATGGAGACTGAGGGAAGCACAGGAGGAATCGCAGGAAGATGGGGGTGGGCTAACTGGTGGGCTAATGTCATGCTCAGAGATGCTGAGGGGAAGAAGGAGAGAGGGGGAGACAAGCACCAGCCTTGTCCTACTTGTTCTAGTTGTGAGTAAATCAATATAAAGTAATTAATCAAATGCAATTGCAGGCTAAACTTGACATAACCACAATGCCTCTCAACAAAATATCTTGTAGTCCTTGTCAAGATCAAAATACCTCTTTGAGTTGGAATAATAATGGTTTAATTTGGGATGGGACTACTGCCCTAAGGGAGGCCATTAACCTTTTCCCCTGCCATTATTTTCCCTACAGAAAATGTCCCTGCCTCAGATGATGATGGTTCCAAATAGTATAGACAATAACTCTGCAGCTGAGCACAACTGGGAAGCCAGAGTTTGGTGCATGGGTCCCATTGCCAGCATCTCACATAGCAGAGCTTGAAAAACAGTCTTTCTAGAGTGCTAGAAAGCTACTGCCACTTAATGGTATGCTTTCATATAAGGCAGCTTCATTTATTTACACGAAACCGTTTGGAGGCATCAATGGCACAATGGCCAAGCTATCCAATGTTAACAAGTCAGGAGTAAAGTGTAAATCGCCCTCACTCTATGACTATCCTAAGTGGTCTGGAGCAGCCTTTAAAGCCATCTTTTTCCTTCCAAATTCTCCACCCACTAAGAACACTGCCTTTAAGTAAAGGTTGGTGATTCTGATCAGAGGAGTGATGGAGAACACAGTCAGGTGTGGCATTTATTCCCGAGTAAGTATTTCATCTTAACTGTGTGGACTTAGAAAACATTTTAGCTATTACAAAGACACTGGGATAAATTCACATGACATGGGAAAAATCCATTCGGTAACAAGATGCAATATTACATCAGGAAAACAGATATGGCTCTCTTTTCACCCTCAAAATTTCCATGAGAGGCAGATTTAGTTGAGAGGCAGTGTTTCAATGTAACACTGAAAAGGGTTCAGATTCCCAATATTCTACCAACTCTACTGCATTGCTATAATAAATATTTAATGGCCTTGCTTTTTTTCTGGTAGCCTGCCTTTCTCAGTTTTAAAGTCTATAGCATGTTGGACCAAGATGTAATGTAGTGGCAATTCATAATCTGATGAAAGGAACAGTTCCATCCTTCTGGTACACGCGAGACACAAACATTTTGAAGTACCTTGAGCAATTTGCAATCTCTATCCTGGCTCCTTCACAGTCACGTCCACCACACCGAGGCTGAGGGTTGTTACATGACCGTGATCTGCACATGCAGGAACCTGTACTATCTCCATCTGAGTGTTCACATGGTTGCCATGGAGACCAAGTCCCCAACTGCCCATGCACCATCAGATTTTTCACCTAATTAAAAGAAAGAAAAGTCAGCATGGTAAGTTTACATAGTGCACAAGCTGCTACAACAGCAAATGCTGTAAAGCCAGGGAGCCTTGAATCTTTCCTCTATCTCTTCAGACAATGCCATGCTTCGGTGGATTCTTGGCTCATGCAAACAATCAGACATAATCAGAAAACAAATCAAGAACATCCATTATTCTTCACACTGCACAATACAGTCAATGTATCTTATAAATACTGAAGATGGAACCAAAATGAATATCTAATATTGTAGCTTATGGTGGATTAAAGAACCTGTACGAATTTTGATGGCTAGTTCTGAACTCTCATGCCAGTTGAAGTTAAAAATACAGTGACAACGATCTTCATTTTTGACATATTTACAGCTTGGGCCCTGTATGTCTGCTATATCAAACTGACCATTACGTCTATTACTCCCAAAATGCACCCCTCTGGGATACTGATTTCATCCTTCTCCAGCACAAAGGAAGACAGGGAAATTCTCCATGGGTTCCTTTCTCTTCCTATCCATTTATCTTCTCACTATATACAACAGTGATTTCCCCAGAAAGGACAGATGGTGTTCTGGACAAACAGTTTGTTGCACTCCTAATCAAATTCCCTGGGTAACTTCCTGTCTTTTTCTTCTTTACAGACTTCTGGTGTAAGAAAAAAAGACGGGAATAGCAATAAAGAAAACACAGCTTACAAATGAAAACAAGAAGCTCTAGACTCCTCCCTGAAAAAACTGGTGATTGAGGCAGACTATTTGTACAAGAAAAGTCATGTCTGGAAGTCATAACTGTGGCAAAGAGATGCCTTTCAGCAAAAATAACAACTTTTATTGGAAACAAGAGGGATGTTGCCCTACACAGCTTCTACTGACTTTTGTCAAGGCCAGAGAGAAACTTTCCCCACCTCATGAAAGCATCAAACCACTGAATCTCTTTCTGAGGCATACAGTTACAAAACAAGGATTGCAAATCATAACTTGTTCTCCCCTACTTCCCCACAGCAAAGCCCTCCCCTGGCACTTCCTCTGAGCCTCCATCTTCCATCTCAAGACTACAAGACATTGCACAGAAATAATTTAGGTCTGTCGTTACGCTTGTCACACTGTAGTTAGAAGGACTTTAAACATCTGTTCCAAAGCTTTGTTTTTACCACACTGTAATTCAGCAGCTTGCAAACAATAAGCAAGGAGAATACTGCACAGTCTTCCCTTCTCTGCTCTAGATACTGCTCAGCTGGACTACTTGGCTTAGTTAGAAATATCACATATTCATGCAAGATAAAAAAAAATCTGTATAAGATTAACACCCATGAACACCAACTAGCAGTCAGAAGATATGATGAAAACTCCTTAATCTCACAACACATGGACTGACTTAACTATAGTTTCAACTGGGAAACTGTTAGCATCTTAGTCCAAGCTAAATCCAAAGTTGTGAGGGCATTCCTGGAAGCTTGGTATTCAGACAAGGCAGCCATCAACAGGCACATAGAGATAAACAACATCTACACACTATTCAGAAGAGACAATAGAAAGGAAAACCAAAGACCAGAACATCTCCTCACCAGCAATCATCACCCAGATAAATAAGGAATAACACCAAGAATATCCACAGGCCTACAATCAAGCAGTAA